TCCAATTAAAACAAGGATTTAATTAAATCCAAAAGTATAACCTGAATTCCAAATACCCTCAAACCCCTGTGGGCTTGAAAGGTGGCAAAAAAAAAAAAACTCAGATCAAAACAGTCACAGAAACCTGTCATTCACTTCCCCACCATCCCTGCAGCATGTTCCAGCTCTCTGCTGCACTGTATCTGTATACACTGTATATTTAAACAGTCCTTGTTTTGCCAAAATACAACTCTGTGAAGCCCTGAATCTTCAATGAGTGTAGCATATTTAGCCATATGTTGGCAAATTGAAAAACACTCAGCATATGTGTTGACAGCAGAGGAGTGAATTATGTTGCAATACAGATTTGAGAATAAAAATGTTTTCGTAAAATGTAACTTTACAAAACACCCAAAACAAACTATCTCAATCTACACCTATGTAGACTTGCAGTAAGATACTCAGGCCATGTATATGAAGAGCAATGCCTTTTAAAACCGAAAAAGGACGAGAAGGGGTGGAAATAGGGAAGGACACAGTGAGGGGTTATGTTGAAACGACAAGCAACACTGAGGATGCTAAACGATTGAGACATAGAATTTCTACAGAAGCAACTGGAGGGTAAAAAAAAAAAAAAGAATGAAGACTCAGGAAAAGGTAGAGGTGGTGACATCCATTTCATGAGAACTGGTTCGGCTTGAAACTGGATTTGAAGGGGTTAAAGACAGTCCCACCTTACCTACAGCGTTCATTTTGACAAAAAAAATGTTTCCATACATTCATTGAGTTACAAAACCAGGTAGTGAAATTTACAAATTTACAAAGAACCCACACCTATCTGAAGACATACTGCTTTTGAACTACATCCAGTGGACAGCGGTACTACAAGTTTGCTCCCATGACATAATCAAGGTACATCCCCTGAACATACCCAGTTATATCAACAGGGACAAAAGGCTAACATGCAAAACAGCAGGAGCAAACAACACCTCCCTCTCTTCCTTCTAACAACATTCATGCCATTCTGACATATACCTTTACCTACACTTACAAACTCACTGCTGGTCTTGACTTCAATCATGTCCTCTGCCCTCTCCATGTCGCCATCTGCTCCCAGCTAATAATTTTTGATCTCTCTCTTTCTAGTCACAGTATCCACACCTCCTCCCAGGTTGCACACTCAACTGCTCTCTAAAAGCATGCTTCCGCTCTGTGCTTTGCTTACAGTAAAACTAATGACATGCTATGTCTCCTCCACAGTCAGCCCTATTCCATGAAATTTGTTCACATCCTCCTTTTGCTATTACTCCCTGGCCTCAGCCTAATTATCTCTCCCTTTCCTTCCTCATCCCCTCACTGCGCTTGACCTTCCTAAAACTCATGTGCTGCACTTCCTCGCTGCGCTCCTATAACTGCACTGACTTCTTTTTAAACACACTCCTCTCTTTTCCAGCTCTGTTTTTGCACTCTTCCTGGCCTCTTTCGCCTCTCCTTTTACTGACCTTTCTTAAGGCTTTTAGTGACCTCTGGAATTCCCTCTTCCACTCCCTCTTAGAAGTACTTTTTTCAGAGCCCTTCCCTTAGATTCTGAGCTAATTTAAGGTCACTCTCTACTATTCCAAAGATCTTCTCTTGCTGACCAAAACGACTGCTTTGTTGTTTATTTGGAGTGACAGAGGAGCAGGGAACCCCTGCTACTTGGTCAATCCAAGTGAAAGAGTTTCTCTTCAAACTGGAGGGGGTTGCCTGGGCGACAAGACAAAGGAAAGTAAAAAAAACAGAGTGCATGTTTCCACTTCTGTTACAGACAGAAGGATGGAGAGGATAGGAGTGGAGTGGAGGGGTAGAGGTAGAGTGGCAGTAGTGTCCGCCTCTCTGCTGCTTTGGGCAATCCATTAAAACGATCCTTCCATTAGACAAATGTGAGGGAGGAGGCCAAAGAAAATGGACCAGAGGGGTACAGAAAGGGTGGACTGATCCAGAGGGGAGGGAGAAATGAATGTGACTAGGAGAGGACAGGCTGTGACAGAGGTTGGTCAGAATCGGGGTAGGATATCAACTGCTACAGAGGATGTTTTTAATCCATTTGGACCAGTTCAGCAGCAGTTTTAAGCATTTTTGAACCACATTTTCTGTGCTTCCCTTTTGCTCTTTGAGTCTCAATTTTGCGGACATGAGCTCGCAACACATTTACCTCATAACGCATGATGATTTCCTAAGCTTGCAAGCAAACTCATTTCAACAGTATATGAGACAGAATGTCAAAAGCAGAAAAGGAAAAAAAGAGTGCACTACAGACAGTATGTAGCAAGCATGAAAGACGAAGGCCCAAAGGGGGAAATGGGACCAAAAGAATTACAACAGATTCCATGAAAGGAAGGAGAAGGAGAGCCTGAAGAGTACGGATATCATTATCTTTCATGCCCAACGCAGGTGACTAGCATGGGAAGAATAGATTAAGTATCTCTCCTTCTCTTGCACTCTCCCCAACAAGCAAGGCCCATTCTGGGAATGGAAAGAGGGTCTAATAAAAGGTGTGTAGTGTTGGGGAAAGGTCCAGCTAGCCAGCTGCTTCATTCTTGAAAGAGAATATTCAACTATAAATTAGTCCCAATGCGTCCTCTGGCTAAGTTAACAATGGAAGTAACACTCAAAGATAAAACAAATACAGAATTTTTATTTTCATTAAAACAAAGCTTGCATTACTATTGAGCTACTGCAGCTACTATAACAAGAATATGCCAACAAAGTTGCAACTGTCAGACTTATCTTATCTCACTTGAACAAATATAGTAAAGCAAAACACAAATGTGTGCACATTCACCTGTATTTTTTTTCCAAATTACTGTTCTTTTGTTTGCTGTAGGTTTAAAAATAGTCTTGATAACGAGTCAGTGAGTATCTAGAATAGCGAAGCGGTGCCTTCTCCTCTAGCTCAAAATCAATTCGGATGGAAATACAATAGAGCCATTCTATCTATTGATTTGAGCTATCCTATACATGTCATAGCCAAGATACTATGACAGAGTACAGGTCGCAGATCACAGCAGACCAATGAACTCTGATGATGACTAGAGCTTCTTTAGTAATGCAGTGTCAAATTGAAATAGGACAAAAATAGATGAATCACTTGTCTCAGTTCTTTATTGCCTTTCTTTTTAACACAAACATGCAAATGCAGACCTTGGGTTTCCTTTAACCCTGCAAGTCACCCCAAACATGGACATACAACACATATTGCTTAGACAGTCTATAGGCTGGGAGTCCAGAAGGGGCCTTTGTTTGTTTATGTGTGTTCAGCTGTTTTGTTTTTTTCTTTCGTACTCTCACTCTCCCAGACAGGTAATTCCAGTCTCCATACGCAGTTGCTAAGCTTTCTGTGTACGCGGGTATGCGGACACCTTCTGTTTAAAGTTGTCTGTTTTTCACTAAAGCCATAGACTTCCTGTGCTTTATGTGTGGGGATTTGGCCTGGTAGAAAATAGTTTTAAGCTTTTTATACAAACTAGCTTTATTTGACTGTGCAGTTGAATATGGTGCCCAAGATAAACAATACCTAGTAGTGACAGAGCTAACCCACGGTTTACTACATCATCCATCATACATGAATTGTTCAGTGAGAGGAGTGTTAGTCTGTGGATTGCATGTTAAGCTTTTCCTGCATGTAGAATTAGTATAAGTAGTTAGTCAGGTCAAGACAGTGCAAAACTCTCTTTTTATTTGTTCCTTATAGTTTGATTGTCAATGATTCAAATTAATCTGAAATGTGATTTAGTTCTTTTTTTATTTTAAATCAATCTACATTAGGAGTGCTTGGTACAAATATGCATCAGTTTTTTGTTTAGAACTATACAATGTTTCTTAAAAAATGATTACTGATGTAATATTCCCCAGAACACCCCTGGAGACAGCGACCATGTACAGAAGCATTTCTTAACTTGAGAAGCCTGTTTGGTGTGCTATTAGCTTTAGTGAAAGAAAAGCTTTCCCATAGCCTCAGTGAATGTGAAACTCTAGCTGTGCTGTTTCAATGTTATGTGGTTCACTACACTGCATTCGCTGTGTGAGAGTGCCCTCACATGTATTGTACACCCAGCAACAGTCCACACACACCCTCGACAAGTTTTGCTTTGCTCTGAAGCAAAGACATCAGAGCATATGTTTACCAGGTAGTTTGTGGTAAAGAACGCCTCTATCTGAAACGGAATATGCTCATACAGCTGACAGAAGCTGTAAATCTGTTAGCGTAGAGGCCATGGTAAACCTTATAACACGAAACATCCTATTTTGGTGAGCTGGTAGTCTTTTTTGAATATGTGTATGCAAAAAAAAAAATGTATCTACAATATGACCATCTAACTATGAAGCTACACAATACCATATTTAAAATGAACTAGTGTCAGTACAGAAATAACCTATATGATAGGTGCCTATTTTCTTTTTCATTTCTTGAGCTTCACCTTTGCAGCCCACAAAGCCAACCCTGTGGGTTATCTACCCACCATATTTACTCCAAGTACCCATTACTGTCTTTTAAAGAGAGTAGACCATGCCTAGTTTAGACAAAGATTAGCCTGTACGCATTGTAAGGCTTGTTACCTAGCTACATCAATATTTGTGTAATTGACTCAAAGTAGACATGCCACAGTGCCTTAAGAAATGCAGTCTGGTTAAGTTGAACTGGCTCGAAGCTACCCCAGTCCACACCACAGACTGCTGTTGTTCATTTACCTACTGTATGTGCTAACTGTGCACCACATCCACACTACAGCTCAGTGGCAAGCACGTAAAACACCCCATCTAATTACATCAAATGTGTTCACACATGCACAGACAACACTGTCATGCCAACCCCAGGGCAGTCCCCTACTTCTTAATTTGCTTCTGAAAAGATATTAAAACACCTCCATCCCTTCAACTCGGAGACTGTGTGAAAATAAAAGTCGTTTAAAAAAATAAAAAATGTATGACTCGATCCTATACAAGCACATACACGGTCTGTAATAAGTGTGAAGATTTACCTGCTGCCGGGATGCGGTGCGCTCCGGGGACCGAGGACAGCCTCTGAATGCCGGGAGAGGCGTTACTTCCCGGGGCTCGCTGCTGGTTCTCCGAGTGGTTGCTGTGAGCTCCAAGTGGCGAGCAGCCGGCACCGTGCTGCTGCTGTGGATGTAGCTGCTGCTGCTGATGGTGGTGATGGTGGTGGTGGTGGTGATGGTGGTTAGATACCATAACTCCGCTGCCGGTTATTCCATTGCCATTGCCAACACTGTACTGCTGGTAATAACCAGACCGAGAGCGCGATCGAGTCCTTGGGGGCTCCATGGCCATTTGGTGGGGGTGAAGGGGATGGAAGAGGAAAGAGGAGGACGCGGCTGGGGACTGCGGCGGAGAGCCGTTGGTAGATCCAGGCTGTACAAAGCCCCTCGCCCCGCTCTGGCTGTAACTATAGCCCCCGAGTCCTCTGCCCCCCTCCGCGCCCCCGTACTCTGTTCGCTCCGCCGACTCCGCCGCCCCCGCCTCGTCGAATAAATCAGCCCCTTTAGGGACAGGCTCCGGGGTGGAGGGCAGCCGGGGGCAAACTCTAGGCTCCTGAGTCGTTGGCTGTCCAGCGGCTGCGATTGGCATTTCCTTTCGGGCTATTTCCTCTGTTTCTCCCCTTTTTTTTCTGCGTTTTTTCCTCTCGTTTCCTCTCACAGAAGAAGCTTTTCACAGACTGTTCAGAAACACAAAGTTGGAGACTTAAAGCAGAGCAGCGATGTTTCCTCCTCCTCTCTAAAGCAAAAAAAAAAACCAACAAACAAAAAAAAAACATAGACCAAATCAAAGTATTTACACCAACTACACCCTTGTTTGTTTTGACAAACACGTGTGCTGTAATTTGGGTTTAGCTTGTAGTTAAACTTCCCTCAAGTTTGTCTGAGTAACGTTACTAAAAACAGCGTGATTCCCCCAAACTGGTTCGACAACTAAACAACGCTGCCTGGTCAAGATACCATCTCGTGTTTTTAACTAAACACGGCGGTGGGAAGGTTAAACACTGGTTCTCCTTTCGTATGAGATTCATCTCACGGGTTACCAGCGACGTTCACTCCACAACAACCGAGCGAGTACGGCCATGGCTCGCTAGCTCACGGGAGGCTAACGTCGGGGAGGGGGGGGCATGCTAACATTAGAGCGCATAGCACACTGTGGTGGTAAACGCGTTATTGTGCCTATTCTAACCGTACGATAATTGTGTTAGCATACCCTAGCGTTTTCTTATAACCGTATTCAACCCCGGAGTGAGTTTAAAGCAACTTTATCTACTTTAAACCGCATTTAAACTTGTTTAGCCAGTCTGCGTAACGTCGCTCGCTAGCTTGGCAAGCCATACCAACCCCTCCTCCTCCACCGACCAACACAGAGAAAAATCCCGTAGCTAGCCACCCACGCCTCGAATCCCTTTAAAATGCTTGGTTAATAGTGACAAAAAGAGGTTTCGAGTGAAAAAGAAAAAAAAAACTTATTCGGGTTGATTTCACTAGTGAGCCGGTAGTGTTTCCCCTCCTCAGCTGTAAAGAGGCAAGCGGTGAAAGCGTAGAGAGAGAGATAAAAAAAAAAAAAAAGTGGTCAACCTAAAATTACAAAGAAAGAACCACGGCTAAAATTAACACGATCTTAAAGAATGACCCCGCCTCTGAGTCTACAGCTGAAAACCGGTTTAATTTCTCTATCCGGAGTAGTTTTTATTCAATACAACAACTTACCTTCAACGTGCTTCGACTCGACTGTACTCCTGACTCGGATCTGTCGATAATATTGTGAGCCCTGCGTGTGAGTGTATGTGAATGTGAGTGTATGAGCCCAGTGTTCGCTTGGTGTCAGCGTGAAATGTGACAGACCGTCAACGCTCAAGTCGGATTTCACCAGGCGCGACCAATCAATACCGGAAAACACGCCGCGTTTGTAGTTACTTTCGGCACAACCCCTACCTTATTCTTTCACCGAGAACAAAAGAAAACGACGGGATATTTAAAAAGCGTTAAATCTGGCTCGCTTTTTGCTCGTTTCACCTGGTAACTTCGACTTTTACCGGCTACGCGAACCGGTTCGCCGATCGGTGCTCGATTAGCAGGCCCTGTTAAATCAGAAGCTGTGGATAGCAGAGAGGCAGGCTAAAAGGGGCTTTAAATTATTTATTTACAAATACCAAGCCTACCCATTGCAGCTGTTTCCTTCTGGAGCCGAAAGTTCGCTTTAAAAATAAGTATTCGCTGTGTTTGCAAAAGTTGCACAGGCGGCCGGTTCACAGCAGCTACAAAACGGAGAAGGGGTTTATTTAGACCCCTAATCTGAAATAAATTAGCTTAATGGAAGCTACATCACCAGGATGAATGAAGTGAGTGGGATCTAAGCCAAAGTTCTCACTGACTGAGCAGGTTTGTGCATGTTTTCGTGGGTTTTGGCAATCTTTTTATCTAGCAACTGGTGAAGCTAAAGAGAGTGTAACACATTTTTAGTGGGAACATTTAAGGGCTTGTTGTGTCAAAGGTCAAGGATGTGGCCTGTATGGAACACTTATGAGAGACTATTGCAAATAATGTGTCATGTTGATATTCTAGGAGTGTGTGTGTGCGGTGGCAGGAGGGTGTGATGGTGTGATAGGAAGCCATGTGAGGAGGGGAAAACATGTATGTGATTTCTGTCTGTCCTCTCTTTCACACCATCTCGCCTACTATACCCTATTCCCTCGGTCTTGTTCTCTCATTTCACACACACTCAACCCCAACCCATCAACACCACTCCTAATACACACACACCCAGCACACACACATTCTCTCCTCATTACACTCCCTTTCCCTACTTTGATGATATGCAAATATCCCTCCCACCCTCCTTCCTCTCACTCCTCCCTTCCTCCCTCCCTACCTCCCTCCCACAAGCAGCAAGCCTCCACACACACACACACACACACACACACACACACACATCACACACAGGCTAATGCGCTGTGGCAGCGTCCACAGACAGGCGGGGAGGATCAATTTTTCACCCAGTGTGCTACCGATATTCATAAGATAAGGCCACCGAAGATCGAGGAGAAGGGAGAGAGGGGAGAAAGGTGGGGGGAAAGAAAGGGGAACAGCGAGGAAAATGGCGAGTGGGTGTAATGAAGGGGGAGGGAGTGCAGAATAAAGGGTGTCCAGGAATAAGGGGTGAGTGGGAAGAAGGAGATTGAGAGGAGGACTAGGGAGCAGTTACTAGGGAGGATGAGCACGGGTGAGAAAGTGGAGAGGGGTGGGGAAGTCTCGTGGGTGTGTGTGGGGAGGCAGGGAGGGTGGAGGCAGGATGAGTAAGTGGGTTAGGGGTGGTAGGGAAAGGGGGATGGGGGTGTAGAGAGGGCTCTGGGGGATGGGATTGGGAATGGATAGGGTGGTAAGGGAAAACGAGGGATGGTGTGTGTCTATGTGCGGATGGAGGTGGGGGGGTTATTTTGCTGACGTGCTCTCTTATTGGCTTGTTCAAACGCGGGGGGGAGGGGCAGCCACAAACCATACTCTCGCCAGCTGTAGGGAAGAGCAGAGAAACAAAGAGAGAGAGGAGAGCGAGAGAGGGAGGGGGCCCAGATATGTGTTTTAATGTTGATATTCTGGTCTAATTAGATTCCTGTCTTGAGTGGCGGAATGAATGGAGCTGATCATATAGAAATGGGTGCAGTAGAAGAGGAAGCAGGCTTTGTTTGAGGATTCTTAGTGCACACAAGGGGTTCCTGATGTATAGTGGAGACACAGAGGCAAGCAAATTGGCAACACTGTCTCTTTCTGGATCCATCCAAACTCACATTTACTATGTTGAAAAGGAGTGTCTTCCCAGGAGCAAATGAATTTTAGATGACATGTCATCGCTTTAATACTTGCAGCGCTACCTAAGCATTATGCAATATGTTCTTGAAGACGACATGTCAAAATTTCAAATAACCCAAGTGTTTGAAACTTCAGAAAGTTTATTAAAAAAAATACACACATGGCTGTTTACAGTACAGTGGGATATTTGTGCCACCCGTTTGTGTAAATGTTTTTTTTTTAATTGTAAAATTAAAAGAGGATTAAATAGAACGCTTTAACAGCATAGAAAAAGAAAATACCATTCCAGCACACACAAGAAGGCAGATTGAGTGCCATGTGTTTGTGGAGCCCAGCTGAACTCCGCCTGCTAAACCAGTCCGCTGGCTGTGACAGACTGTCAGGCAGGGAAATAGAGAGGGTGGTGCGTATGTGTGTGTGTGTGTGTGTGTGTGCGTGTGTGTGTGTGTGTGTGTGTGTGTGTGTGTGTGTGTGTGTGTGTTAGAACAGAACAAGATGAAAAAAAATTAAACAAAAGAGGCAGATTGACCAATGCGACCAAAACACACACAAAAATCCAACAGAAAGAAAAATGACAAACAAGAGCGACATAGAGAAACATACAACGAGAAAAAGAAAAAGGGGTGCATACTGTAGTCATACATGGAGAATGAAGGAGAGAGAGAGAGAGAGAGAGAGAGAAAGAGAGAGAGGAGAGAGTAGAGGAGGCCAAGCTTTCTGTGGCTTAGCCAGACTGGAGCGGTGGGACTTGGCTGGCTGTGGACCCTTGGCTTCACTATTAAAGCAAGGGAGAAAAAAAATCACAGTCAAAAAATGAAAAGGGCAACAAGCTATGCCAAGAATGCACAGGCAAGAAGCAACACATTAGGTTCTTTCCTTCTGCCTGCCTTTCTGTTTCCCCAAGCAGATCTAAACAATAGGTGGGAGCAGCCCTGAGAACCGAGCACTGTACAGTTTACGGCTCAGTTACTCGGCTAACTCTGGAAGTTTGAAACCGTGTATAATGATACGTCACCCTCTAATATACAGTTGCCTCTTATGTTTTATTATAAGGAGCTTTGAAGTTGTTAAAATCAGCTTATTCCACGTGGCCTGACAGTATCATAGATATTTTGTATCTGTAAGCTGTAGGATGTGTTTTAGTGGAATATTCAAACCCAAGATGGACATATTTTTCGTGTTTGCATCATGAAATGAAATGGAAATTTGATTTAAATGTGGTGTGTGTTATTTTATATGCATTTCCCCAAAAATCAGGCTTTAGCATCTTTAATACCTTGCAGTCTTTGCAATCTGACTAGAATTTAAACTAAATCCTGTGACTTTAAGCACTTTTAAGCTCGGCTGCACAGTATTAGCCCATCAGTAGGGTTTAGTATCTTAGTTGTGTTGCTAATAAAGTAAAATTGTCAGATGATTTATCAGAGTTTGGAAATATCCTCTTGTATGTTCTGTTAAAGCAAGACAAAGAGTCAGCAGCCATGCCAGCAACTCTGTCAGGTTTAAATGTTGAAAGTTATTATTAAATACAGAGCACAGCTGCGTTTATGGAGATGTTGCTATCATTTTGCATGTATTCAGTCAAGAACCAAAGTTGGGGACACATAAAAACTGACCATGGGAATAGAGAATAATGTAGATCAGGGGGACAGGGAGAATTTGGCTCCTCTTAATAAGACATGTGATAACCTGAAACACTGATTTGTGACATTTTGGGAGGCTCTCTCAAATAGAGACACTATTTTTTGCCTTGCATTTCTATTTTTCTGTCTCTTAACCATCGACCATGTGTGAATTTTGGGCTTTTATTGATGTATTATTCATGCATGCAGGCGTTTCATCACTAATTCACTTTAACAAAGATACCGACATGCATGCTTGTCTTGCCATCACGCATCGAAGTGTGCACAATATTATAAACTCACCTTATCTCAAAGATCAGAAAAAAAACTTCCTTACAACAGAAGCACAAACCTAACCGTGTGGTGTTGACAACAGGCAGAAGCAGCTATTTTTCTTTTCTGTTTTTTAAATTCTTATTATTCATATTACCATTAATATCAATTATAATAAATAAAAATAGAAATTAGGTGCTTTGTAAATGTTGTATGTCATTTCTCATCACCAAAATGGGAAAAATCTCACTAAATCTCACCAAATAAGACAAAACCTAGATGAAAAGTATCACATTTCATGGCAAGCCATTCAAAACTCCATACACAATGTTTTAGTAAAGCCATGGTGGCACTACAGAAAAAGTCAGGGATTCAACAAAGGCATTATTACTGTCTTCTGAGGACCGTATATGTTTGCTTAAAACCTCACGACAAACCATTTGACTTTTATTGTGATATTTTAGTCTAGAGCAAAACGGTGACCCGACCAATTAGCTGCAACCTTTTACTAACTTTGCTAAAAATGTCCTAAAATTCTCAAACTTGTCATTTGCAGGATTTACCCTTGTTTTGTTACGCAGCTCTTGACTTTAATGCAGCTTTTGTTGCATCATACTGTGCTAAGTTCAGCTTTTGGTAGGTGGTGTGGTGTGCGTATGGCATTCCAGAAGTTGCATCAGACATTTTAAGATTTGTACATCAGCCCTAAAGAGAATTAAAATCCAGAGCAACACTGACACCTGTTTACTATTGGTGCACACACAGACACACAAGTAAACAAAAAAACATCCCTCCAATGGCTTTTCCAAAGACCCTACAAAACAACCAAATATCCCGTAATGCAATCTGACTGACCCAGCCACTCACGGTTACTAATCGCGTAGTAATAGTTGCCATTCCATAATCATATCACTACATGGAGGCATGAGGGGACTTATGGGCTTTGCCAGATTAATAGTGAAAAACAAGGACTTATTTTCCTGACTTTTCCATCCGCTGATACCCTAAGTAGAGGATTATAGCCTTTAGATGGTCTGACTCCACGAAGGCCGTCACAGAGGGGGGATATTTGTGAAAAA